AGGATGTTTTGGGGTTTGATATCCAAGTGAATTATTTTCTGCCTGCATCCTTCGTGGAGATATGCTAGTCCCTTGGCTATGTCTAGAATGATCTTCCTTCTACATTGCCAACCAAGAACAATTGCTTTGTCTGTGTAGAAGATCCATTGATCCAATGACCCATTACACATATACTCAAACCAAAAGCATATGGGATTTCTCAGCACAAAACCCAACTAGTCGTACCAAATTGAAATGGTGAATGCTTCCTATGGTCTCAACCTCAGCTATAAATGACTTCCTTACAGGACCAAAACCATCAAGGCATTTCACTGCAATTTGAGCACCACCAGGTAATGTTCCTTGAAAAACACAACCAAATCCTCCCTCGCCAAGCTTGTTGCTAAAGTTGTTAGTCGCAACCTTTAATTCTTCATAAGAGAATCTTGAGGGTGCTCCTGATATGTGGCCCAGATAATCCTCCTCAACCTCGTTTGGATCCTTCTTTATTTTTAGGATAGAGAGAATGCAGATAATAAGAAGCACAATAAAAGAGGCTCCAAGAGTGAATCCAAGTATAACTCCCATATTCTGTCTTCTCCCTTTTTTAGAAGAAACCGGCGGTGGAGAAATCGGTGCAGCTGAATTCCCTCTAGGTAAAACTGGCGATGGTGATGGAGGAATATGTGCAAGTTGAAGACTTTGGACCTTTAAAAACAGAGATGATTGATTGTAAGATGTATTCACTCGCTTGAACGACAAAGCTTCGGATCTTAAAAAGCACTGGCCAGGTGATGAGGAATTACTATCATTTTCATGTATAAAAAGAGCATACTTGCAAGAACAGTTCTTTAAACAGCCTTGCTTGCAGCTCTCTTTGTCTGTTTTGTGATAATTACCTCGCCCAAAATCATGAAGAACAAAATCATGAAGAGCAAAATCAACGTCCTTGACTTCAAGAAGACTCTGGTTAGGAGACTTACAAGATATTGGATTCGATTGAGAACACGTCTGTGAAGAATTTATCTGCCTGAAATACGTACCTCCATTTTTATCTGCTTCTGGGCAGCTGCACGGTCCTCCCGCTGAACAAATTCCGTATTTTCCGCACACCAATGGGTAACTGCATGAATCAAGTATGTTCTCAAACAAATCATAGGCTTTCTCCCACCCTGATACTGTCTGCCAGAAGGCTCTTAAGTGCCCATCATGGTCAAATTGTATAATATAAAAAGTTATCCACAATTTAGTTGTCCCTTTCCCTTCTCCTGGAAAGGAGAGAGTACCAAAATTATCCGACTCGAATTTAGCATAAAACTGTCCCGTTTGGTCTCTTGATTGGGAATTAGAGGATTGGTAATAGAGCAGGGAGGCATCTAATTCCATATAAGTAACAAAATGACCATTATTATCAATAGAAAATGAATATAAACCCTCACTCCAATTTGTGGGCGACATACTCGCCACCAATTTCTGCCCAGAAACTAGTATCTGTCCCGGCACCACAGAGTCAGTCGGATGATCAAAAGACTGCCAAACCGTCTCGTTGTTCCCATCAAACAGCCGAAGGTTACCTTCACCAGTTAACGTCAAATCCAAAACAGATTTACCTGATGTGTTTGTAGACCAAACCAGAGTGTTATCACCATCTTGCAGTGTTAGACCCACTTGTTGGGAAAGTTGCAATTTTGCCCCACGTCTAACCGGATTGTTTTGATTAGCAGACCATACCATTTTTGAAATTGGACATGATTCTCTAACAAAGAAGATAGAGATAGCAAAGAGGCAGGTGTTGTTTTCTTCAACCTTGCAGTGGAAGCCACAAACGAAATGCCCATTGACGAAGATAGGTTGCAGTGTCAACTCCTCTGAGTCCCAACTAGAGTTTGAGTTGTTGTTAATCCAAGAAATTGGAGCCTTCGCACTTGATAGATAATCAGAAGTAATTTCACCATTCATGAGAAGCAATAATATGATTAACAGAGCTAGAAAGTAGCCAGTAGTATTTCGTAGCCCACCACCCACTATCATTGTTCTAATCTTGTGATGAGCAAATGTGGTATGATATTGAGAATTGCCCTAAAATTATTATAAAGAAGCTGCAGTAGGATAAGATCTCAAGTTAAACTAGTTTATATTATCATTATATAATAAACTCAAAAATCAATAAAAACTTGGTCAAGTTATTACTTATTAACTTAAAAATTTTACTTTAAAGTAAAAATTATAAATTAAAATTTCTGTAATGTTAAGTAACAAGTAAAAGTTATATTTATATTAATCATACATATTAATTGTTAAATTAACATAGTAAACTTAATTAATTTATTAATTACATAAAATCTAATACTTTTAAATATATATTAAAAAATAAAGTTTTTTTAATAAAAAATTATAAAT